TAGTAATCCGCCTTCCAGTTTTTTCTCCTAAAGTGGATAACCTGACATTTATGCAGATTTTATTTCATCTGCTATTCTTTTGCCCACTCACACGTCCAAATTATATTAAAGAATCTCTGTATCCACCTCACAGTTCACACACCCAGCTTTGTGTCAACTGCAATCTTGGAAATATTATGTTTTGTTTCCTCATTTAAATCATTAATATATATTGTGAATAGCTGGGGTCCAACAATTGATCCCTGCAGTGCTGCACTAGGCATTGTCTGGCTTCTCGGAAAATGTCTCATTTAACATGAAAACATATAAAAGTAATTAAATGAGCACTTCAGATGCCATAGCGTACAAGGCTATGGGCTAGGTGCTGGAAAATGGAATTAGAGTAGATAGGTGCTTGATAACCAGCATCGATGCAATGAGCTGAAGAGCCTCTTTCTGTGCTGCAATACTCTGTACATGTGACTCCAGACCAACAGGTATGTCGTTAACACAACTAACTTTTGAAATGGCCTAGCAAGGTGTTCAGTTCATGGATAATTAAAGATGAGCAACAAATCCTGCTCTTCACAGCATACCTATATTCGATGAAAGTATAAGTTTAAAAAATGACTTTCGTGGTAGCAGGGAGTACAAGGCACTGGCATTTTTGTATCTGCAGACAAGCCACTCAGCTATTCCATCATTCCTCTGGTAATAGTAATGTATCTCCCTGCAAGCAGCAAGCCTCAAGCCTCAAGAGCTGATGACAGTGGCTAACATCTCAATCCTCAATTTCAAGTTGAGACAGATTTCATAGATCTCCACATTGAAAACAGGTTGTTGGAGACCTTGAGATGGCTATATGTAATGTATATTCTAGCTTTGATTCTGGACCTACAGGCAGCTTATGGCTTCACTATCTAGAATAATTTTGCCCTTGAGCCACTTCCCTTTTCCTCGCCCCTACAAATTGAATGGTTCAATTTCAAGGAAGCAGACAAAAAGCCCATGTTGCCAAGATTAAGATGAATTAACCACTTGCATGAGGTTGTGGGTAAAAAGAAAACTAGATTTTTAGGTCAGGCAAAGGCCACGTTGCCTCAAGGCCTGGTGAGCCCGGGTGGAGGTCAGCGAGGCCTGGTGAGCCCGGGTGAGAATTAGACCAGTGCATGGGAGAGCAAGCCCTCATGGGAAAAGACCAGCATAGAGCATCTGCAGGCCCATGGCTTAAGAAAGGAGTGTAATGTTTAACTTTTAATTTTATTTCTTTATGTTTCTACTTTGTACCGAGGACTGTACTGTTGAACTTTTTCAACTTATTTCTTTATTTTTCTATTTTTGTACCAAAGATTTTGTACATAGGTACTTTTGTATTTAAGATGGCACAGGGAATGGCGACATTGTACACTTTTCATTGCAGTCCTGTATCCCTGTAGTGGAGTACATGTGACAATAAAACCTAAATCTAAATACTCAGAATTGTCTTCTGTCAATGCTCTGCTTTTGCTATAGATAGAATATTGATATCTTTATATTTGTGGTTTTAAAAATACCTGTGGATTGAATGAGAGAGAACTTTTTGAAAACCAGTTTTCAAAAGGGTGGCTGCAGACACCCATTTCAGGCAGCACATAAACAACTGCTTGAATAAGTAGTAATTGAAGTGAGTTGCAGATGATTTAGAGCTGAGAGAGGGATGAACAGATGCAGTTTTTGCTGGGTCCGGGAAGTTGATTGGTCTGTGGCCTAGTGACCAGTTATCTGTGACTGAGACATTTTTTTTTCCTAGCAACAACTGTGTGATTCGTTCTCCGTTAACTGAACAGCGTGAAGCTGGAACAAGCTACAGAGAGAAATGTGATCAGAACTTCCCAGGCTCAGGTTCTCTGTTCTCTGCAGTCAAATCTTGCTGTAAACCTGAAGAAAACCAGTTTATCTTAAATGCAATAGTTGTTGTACGCTGTGACTCTTAACTGACAAGTCAGAGACATTTTATGAATGAACTGGCCACCTTGTGTTTCTATTCAATATGTGGAAGCATCTGGAGAAAAATGACTAAAGCGATGTGCTGGCCAGCAAAAGAGTCATAAGGATAATCTCAACAATAGAACCTGTGAACAAAGATCCTGAACTGTGTCCAAATTTTCCCATTGGTCCATAACTTCTTTAACGCTGTTTGTTTGTGTATGTAAGAGGAAGTTTATGAGGCAATCAGTGTTTTAATTAGTAGTAGAGCCTTGTAATGAATACTGATTCTTGTTCAGTACAGAAACCTAATCCATGCTTTGTATCAATCTGCAAATCGGGTAAATTGGGAATCTGAGTTTCTTAAAAACCTCTTAATTTTTGGGACAAGGCTGGGAACCACAGTGCTCAGTTTGTAGCACACTACTCCTGTCAGCAGTAACAACATAGAGACATTAATAATTATAAATAATGTTCTGTAGAGAACTTTTGCTTAACTGAGAAAGGTCTTTGATTAGCACTTATGATTTTATTTTGCAAGGTACGGTCATGTGAAGGAAACTCAGGCTTGAACCACTGAATCAAAGATGTATCCACAATAGAGCTCACATAGGCTGACAAAGCATACTCACCCAGGCTTCACAAGACTAACCTCTCAGCATCTCACTTTACAGTCTTCTAGCCTCAACGTTGAGTTCCACAATTTTGTAAGATAACCACTGCTACTAATTTTTTTATGAAACAGCAATTGTTGGTAATAATTCTGCTTTCGGCAAGTGGAGTTCAAGACCCATCCTGTTTATTTTTCTTGCGCATTGCCATTTCTTTTCATCTTGCATCATCCTTCCTATTTTAATTTAATGTCCTGCGTTTCACCCTTGTTGTTCTTCACACAGTTCCCTCTCCCCATTTCCTTTGCTTAAGAGCTGAAATAAGTCATTTGGACGTTTCAGCCAGCTCTGCTATTCCAAAGGATTGTGGCTCATCTTGTAGTTCAGTTCCATCTTCCTGCACTTTGGCTACTTTAAAACAGCTGCTATGGTGTTTTTAAATTGGCCCACACTTCAGAAGGATCATTTCATTTCTGCATTGATTACACTAATCGGCAAACCTATTGTCCAGTCAAATACCAGCCTGTCTCTGCAAACATAGTAAGCTGTGATGATTTCCCCACTGGTGCGGGGTCAGTTCCTGAGGATAGCTCTTGAAATGGAAAATAGACATTGTAGGCAACAGGAGAGACTGAGAGTAAATTAAACAGTGTAGGTTTACTTATAATCAACAAAGTACATACTGCAGCGAGGAGATACGAACATGTAATCTGACTGGTTAAGATAAGCATGTGTATTAGTTTGTATATGATTGGATCATATTATCATGTGTACTAACTTGGAATGTGAGCTGTACAAAGATGGTAAGGTAAAGAAAGGAGTGAGTAAAGTATAATATTTTGATTGGTAGTTGGTTTGTAGGAATAGTCAATTGAAAGCATGTTTTCTGTAAAATTGGTGTAAAACCTTTGTTCTCATGATAAAATTTGAACTGTACCCCATTTTTGGGTATGTACATCTACCAAGCGTGCATGAATAAATCTTCAAACAAGGAAACCAGTGTTTTTTCTGCTCTTAGAGGAAATAAAGGGTAGAACTTACTCTCTTTCTTGGTTCTGAAGGCAGATTCCCAACTGCAGAGGCAAACCCATGACCAAAGTATATGGTTAATGTCTCTGCCATTTCATTGTTCACCGTTATAATTTCAGTTGTCTGTGCCTGTAATGAATCCATATTGACTTCCACAAAATTCATGATTTACAATGTTCAGAAACTGTTAGTCTTGTCTTTTCTCTTGCTAATCCATTCTCATGTTCTCTTTCTTTGTCACTATCTTCATGTGCTGCGTTCAATAATCCACCCAGTCGTAAGGCCAGCTACTTTTTTTGTGGAACCATAATTATCCTGTTCCTTTGGTCAAATGCAATCTTTAATTCCTTTTGTGGTTTATGCTGCATTTCGTGTGAGTTTGTTGTGTTTTAATGGACTATGTTTTTGTTGCAAATGATACCTTAATTATTTAGGTGCTTTCAATGGCTTATACACCATCATGATCTTTAATCTAGATGTTCAATCTACTTTAGTCAGTTCATCACTCATAGTATTTAATTTGCTTTGTTTGAACTTAAAACTCTGGTTAATTTTATATTGAGTTTGAAAGTATTTAGTTATCACATTATGGTCACTCTTCCTTCGGGGCCCTTGACCAAGTTACTATTTTTAATTCATTCATGAACCTGATACATTCAGTACAACCAACAGAAAGCAGCAAGTCCTTTTCTATGGTTCATGGAGGTAGCTCAGGAAACTTGAATATTTGCTTCTCAGCTGTCTTGTGACAGAGATAAGAATCTGCATTATCCCAATATAATTTAATGAGCATAGTCACTGGCTGAGCCAATATTTATTTCCCATCCATAATTGCACAGGAGACAGTTAAGAGTCAACCACATTGCAGTGGGTCTGAGGTCACACATAGGCCAGACTAGGTAAGGATGGCAGTTTCCTTCCCTAAAGGATATTAGTGAATCAGATGGGTTTTACCGACAATCAACAACGGTCATCACTAGACTGTTAATTCTGGATTTTCTATTGAATTCAAATTCCACCATTTGCCATGGCAGAATTCGAACATGGATCCCCAGAACATTACCTGAGTCTTTGGATTAACTGTCCAGCAATAATACCACTAGGCCTTAATTAGCTTTTTCCCTTTGCATTATTCTACATTCAGAGTAGCACATTTCCTGGCTGGTTATCCAATATACTGATCTAGAAGATTATCTTGTGGGAAATGGTTGAGCGAAGTATATGTTTATTGCAAATTTAATCTGTCAGTCCATTTGAAATTTAAAGTTCCCCATGAATACTATATTACCATTGTTACATGCAGCCTGTAATTTTCTAATTTATTTTCTGCCTTGCCTTGCCTTGCCCTGCCCTGCATTATGCTACAACTGCTGCTAGAAGTCCCATTCACGGGCCTTAACAATAACTGATACAAAGTCAAGGTTGTAAAATCTTCCATTTGTTCATCACCAACAATTTACATATAAACATAAAAGTTCTTCATTTATAAATGTTAAACAGTTTAGGGTTGAAATCTTAAGTTGATGTAAACAAAGTGGCAAGATTGTAACAGAAGTGATGGTGGATCCTTGCTCCTTTGGTTCTGTAGCTTATATTAACAAATAAAAAGTATAAAAGCATGTTTTGGTGAATCTATTTTTACAGTAACATTGTTTTTCAGATACTGTTTACAGCACTGTACATTTTCTGGTTTATTTAAAGCTGAACCTGATACATTCAGTACAACCAATAGAAAGCAGCAAGTCCTTTTCTAAGGTTCGTGGAGGTAGCTCAGGAAACTTGGATATTTGCTTCTCAGCCGTCTTGTGACAGAGATAAGAATTTGCATTATCCCACTATAATTTAATAATAGTGTGATGAAAAACAAGATTTGTATCATTCTTGAAGCCAGCTCTACAAACATTCAAAATGCCTGCAAAATCAACCACAATAGATCAATCACTGTCTGGATGCCTAACAGGCATCAGGATATATTTTCTCAAATGGCAACGTTCCAGGGGAAGACAAAGAAAACGCTGCAAAGACACTGAGGCCTGTTGGCATTTGACATTAATGACTGGGAAGAGACTGCTTCCAGTCATTAAAGATGGCAACAGCCTGACCTTCGAGCTACACCACACTGGGTCCTTAATGATGAGGCCAAATGGAAACATATTCTGTATTCCAGGTGTGACTGCTTTGTAGAATGCCCTGCTTTCGTGTGCCTGTGAGCATCAGCCTGGTCCGTCACATGAAGATCCACAGTAGAAACCTATAACCCTGAATGGACATCATTGTCAAAAGACAGGCAGCAATGTCCTTATTTTCATACTTTTCCATTATAATACCTTTGGTCCATATTTTGTATTCAGAATTGGCTGTTGTGAACTAGTCACACTAATATTACACCCAGTAATGGTTCTGTTGGCCATAAAAACGTAAAGTCACCATAGTCCCAGAGAACTACGTGCTCATTAAAAAGAAACAACTGATGGTGATTTAACCTGAGGGTCACCATGGTTCAGGTGAGGGGTGAGGTCGACAAGCTGGGGCTTTCACTGTAACCTCAGCCTGTGTGAGAATTGAAGCAGTTGGCATCACTGTGCATTACAAACCAGCAGTCTGACCAGTGAGCTAACCATGTGTGTACGTGTAACCTTAAGATTTAAAATTTCAAAAATGAACAGACAAATTTAGCCACTAAAACAAGTTCAGGCTCTTCTAAAAATGTCTGAAGGTCCTGCTCCACTGTTATGCTTAAACTTGCTTGTCATTGTATTAAACTCACTGGTTTGCGGACTTTTTAATCCCAGTAAATTAACCAGCATTAAAATGAGAACAAGATTCTAGGGTTTTACCAAATTGGTTCAAAATCCATTGCACAAATCCATCAGATTCTCATTTCATAGTGACTTGTAGCACTAAAGGACGTTATTCAGCACATTGTGCCCATGTTGTTTCTCTGAAAAGGATGTCTAATTATTCCCATTCCCCTGCTCTTTCACAGTAGTCTGATAAATTTCACATTTCCAAGTAATTACTTGTTGAACATTTTGAATAATTTCAACTATTGAAGCTGCTTCCAATACCACTCAGACAGCATATCCCACATCAGCTCATTGTGACAGAACATAATACACCTCCCTGCTTTTGCCAATTACCTTCAATCTGTCCCCCTCTGATTACTATCCGTGCTGTCAGTCTCAACATCTCCTGAATCAGAAACTTGTTATGATGTTCTCATGACCCACTCTGCTATTGTGAGAATAATCCCACCTTGTTCAGTTTCTCTGCACAATTTGTGTCCCTCATCTAAAGCACGATTCTTGTAAATCTTCTCTGCACACTCACTAAGGTCAACATAGTTCTCCAGCTTGAGGTGTAACCAGTGATTTACAAACGTTTAGCATAATTTCCTTGCCTATGTGCTCTATTTGGCATGCATTTAGTTCAGGATTCCAGAGGCTATTTTTAAACCAAACTTCTCAACTTCTCCTGCCATCTGTTTCTCCCAAACTGAATCATCAGTGACTGTTATGCAATTACCGGGGTCTTGAGAAGATTTGGAAGTCATTCTTTCTCTCACTTTCAATTAGACGCAACAGGGTTTCCCTGCATTTTGAATTAAATGAGGAAGGGTTGAAGAGATTGAATGTGGGAATGAAAAAATGAGGAAGGTTGGATGCCTTTAGGTGTTCAATGAAGTCGTCCACCAGCTGAAGAAAGCAGGTGTCAAGTTCTTCAAAGGGCCACTGTTCATCTTTAGGTCTTTTGACACATGCATGCAGCAGCGTTGTTTTTGCATGGTATGAAACAACATTCGCCAGAATGCGAGGATTCTTCTCCTTAAGTTTTTGGATGAGGTTTTTCAAAAGTTTCAGACAGGGCTTCCTGTGAAAAATTACAACAGTTTCAGTCTATATTTTATTTTCTGTGCAACGTTCTGCTCACCTTACCTGACTTACGGGGGCAATGGCCTCTTAAGTGGCATTTGGCCTCTTAAGTGGCATTTGCCCTCTTGCCCTTCACCTAACCCCCCCACCCCCACCCCCTGTTCTTAATAGAGCAGCCTAAGCAGTGAGGACCCTGCCCCATCCCACGTGGAGGGTCGAAGCTGAGTACTATCATCTGTACCCAATGCAGCTGGAAAATTGGATAGTAATGAGTATATTTTAAAAATAATTAGAAACGCAGAAAAACCGATAAAAAGCAATTAATACACTAGATTTGCACAAGGTTGACTTCAGTGGAATATGACACACAATCCATTGATGTCTGTAAACGGCAAGAGCTCTTTTTGCCACAAAAAGCCATGGACATCTAAACAGATTAAAAGTAAACATATAAATCTAAAAAGACTTAAATACAAAGAAAATGCACAAATCCAGCAAAGGATCACAAAACGGTGAGGAAGGCAAGAATAGAATATGAAAAGAAACTCGCAAGGAATTCAAAATCAACACTTTTTTAACTAAAAGAATGAGTGGCCAGAAAAAATGTGAGCTGTGGAAAATCAACCACGGTGATGTGGATTTTGTCAACAAAATTGCATCAGTATTTACAATAGAGGATCGGGTCAAACATGCCAACGATCACAAAAACTAAAATTAAATCTTGGAGAGGTAATAATCACAATTAACATAACAAAAACATTAAAGAAGGGAATAATGACCAATTCCCCACAGTGGATGAAGAGCTCTGCTTTGCCAGGATAAGTAATACATGCCTCTCTCTCTCTCACCTCACACTCACTGTCTATTTGAGCTACTCCACCCACCTCCCACCAAGGCTCATGCTCCACCACACACTCTATTCCCTACAACATCTTCCCTCACTCATTCTCATCACCGACACTAACCCTACTTGGCCTGTATACTACCTACTCACTCCTGGGACACCTCACCACCTTTCCCCCACCTTCAGCTGTGCCACCCACTTCCACCTCACTGAATATCTCCCTTTCTCTCTGTCTAGACGAAGGCAACACACAATAAAACAGAAAAGGCCTGGATGGTTGGAGAGATACTTGACATCAGGCTCACCCAGGAGGAGGCCATGACTGCTGCAGCAAGGATACTGAGATATTCATGTTTTGCCAACTCAGTAAGTGCCACTTTTCATTCCACTGCAGCTCTCTCATTAACCCCACTGCCAGTGTCATTCATCACACACCACTTCTAACCACTGGCTGTGACACCTTCACTCCTTGTGTCTTGCAGGTACCAGTGGGATGATCACGGTCCTGGTGGAGAAACGGCCTGGACCAGGAGAAGCCACCACCTCAACCTGTGAGGACGACAGTATCAAAAGTCTCAGTGGAAGCATTGGCATGGCTACCTCCTGCACCCCCTGCCAGCTCAGATACTGACACCTCAGGGAGAATGTCTTGTTTAGAAAGTTTGGGAGCACAAGCTGGTGAGCACCTCACTTCAACAACTCCGCTGCTGGTCAGGTACCTGCTCAGTGCCAGGCAGGAGAGGACCCTGTAGTGTAGTTAATCAGAGAATTTGTTCACATGCACAGGGAGGAGCAACAAATGGGTATGTGGGACGCTGCAGGAGGTCAGCTACACTGTGGGGACTCAGCTGCCTCCATAGACAGGTTAGACAGCTGGGTCTGGTACCCTCAGGGTCTGCTGGAAAGGTGTATACACCTGCACTCCCATTGCCCCAGCCACTGGTCCTCAAGAGAGTCTGTGAGAGAGTCTAGAAGGCATAATCTTAGAATAAGGGACTTCTAAAACAGCAATGAAGAGGAATTGCTTCTCTGAAAGTAATGTATCTATTGAATTCTTTGCCACAAGAAGGCTATTGAGGTGGTTCATTAAGTATTTTAAAGGCTCAATTAGTCTGATTTTTAATCAGCAAGGAATTCAAAAGTTACAGGGGAAAGGCAGGAAAATGAAGCTGAGGATTGTCAGATCAGCCATGGTCCCATGAATGGCAGAGCGGACTCGATGGACTGAATTGCTCTATTCCTGCTTTTATGTTTCATGTTCTCGAGTCTGTACCAAAACCCACTTATCTATGAATCTCTAAGAAATGTTTCTGGATGTCATTTATATAGAGTTCCAGAAGGCATTTGATTTTATTTCTCAAGAGACTGTTGTCTAAAATTGAAGACAAATGACTGACCTGATTGGGAAATTTGCTGAAAGATGTGCAGGTTAGGTGGACTGGCCATGGTAAAAACCCCATGTGGGGTTACGGGGATTGGGTGGGGTATGGTCTGGGTGTATGTTCTTCAGGGGTCAGTGCAGATTTGATGGGCCGAAGGCCTCTTTCTGCACTGTAGGGATTCTATGATGGGAAACGGTAGAGTTAATGGGCACAAAGTCTAATCAGCAAGATTTGACTAGTAGTATCCCAAAAGATCCATGTTGGAACTTCAACTATTTCCTGTATTTATTAAGAACTTCAGTGATGGTATAGAAAGGCATGAATCTAATTTGCAGATAGGCGGCAGAATTATAAGCAGAATATGTGGAAGCATAATATTCCAAACAATTATTGACATATTAAGTGGATGGACCTAACTGTGGTAAATGGATCTTGGTGTATGCAAACGTGAGAATCTAAAAAGGATAGAACAGGATATTTTCTAAATAGTTAAAAATAGTGACAGCGCAAAGACACTTGGTGATTCAACTACACAACATCAAAATGTACAGATAATAATCCAAAGTGCTAATTTACTGCCAGCCTTTCCATCTAGAGCACTAGAACACATAAAAATCATGCTTCATCTTTACAAAGCTCTCTAGACTACACCCGGAGTGCTGTAAACAGTTTAGGACACCAAAACCTTTGGAAGGACCTTGGAATGAGTACCATCTAGTTTTTTTGCAATGATGCCTGGACTCCTGGTTGAAATTATGAGAACAGATTTCACAAAGCTTGGCTGTATTCCCTGGAAGTCAGAAGGTTGAGATGATTTGATCAAAGTTTTTAATGTATTAAGTGGAACATGAAGGACAGATCGAACTGTTTCCACTGATGTAGGTGTCTAGAACTAGGGCATAAATAACACCTGAGCTCAAAGCAGTAAAATTAGGAAATATCTCCACAGAGTGGCAGAATTTTGGAACTCTCTTCTGCAAATGGTGCTGGATCCATTGTTAATTTTAAATCTGAGAATGATGTATTTTTATTATTCAAAAATATTTAGGAGCATGAGGAATTAGGTCACAGATCTACCATGATCTCACTGAAAGACAGAATAATCTCAAGCTGAAAAATAGCCTACTGCTATTCCTGTTTTTCGTATGGTCCACTCTGTCAAATCCTGCAGCTGACTTGACTCAACAAACCTCCAAAGCGTTTAATGAAGTCCCCCCAAACCCAACATTAACGTGATCAAAGTATCTTAGCTATTAACATCATGTGATTTGCCTCACTCAGTACAGAGAAGCAAATTAAGTAGGTAGGAAAAGAACAAAGTTCACATTAGAGTACATGCCTGTTTTCCATTGTTCCTAACCAGGTCAGTAATAGGTGACAGTAATGAGTGACAAATCTCACCTGCAACATTTAGATGATCCATTTTCACAGCAGGTCTTTAAGCTGCCATGGTTCAGGAGCATCGTCTTTTCAATATGTGAGAATGAAATCCGCCACATTTCTGTAATGATTAAAACATAATCAAAATATAATAGCCAAAAGCTCAGGCTTCAACCAGAAAACAGTGTTAGTTGTGCCATTCCCATGATCCCTGGTCCACCATTCGTTTCCCTGCAGTCAGGTTTGTGAACTCCAGTATAAGGCTTCATGCAGCTCGATCTTCCTCAGAAAGATAGCTGGCTTTTGACAATCCTCCTGTTGTGATTATGCAGAGGTGCAAAAGACACCACCAAATCAGGGTGGCATGGTGGCTCAGTGGTTAGCACTGCTGCCTCACAGCGCCAGGGACCTGGGCTCGATTCCTGCCTGGGGCAAGTACCTGTGTGGAGTTTGCACATTCTCTGCTTGTCTGCGTGGGTTTCCTCTGAGTGCCCCAGTTTCCTCCCACAGTCCAGGGATATGCAGCTTAGGTGGATTAGCCACAGGAAATGCAAGGTTACAGGGATTTAGAGGGGTAAGATGGGGTGCTGGTTCTGGATGGGATGCCCTTCAAAGGGTCGGTATGGACTCAATAGGTTGAATGGCCTGCTTCCACACTGTAGGGATTCAGTGATTCTATGAAAATACAGCTCCAGATTCACAATCCTTTTGACTGGTTTTTGCCAGGATTGCTTGTGAAGAGAAAATTCTCTGACCACCCCTACCGGTTTTGTGAGGATTTCTGTGGGAACCTGATTTCCGTACTTGAGAGTTTTTGGTGAAGTCATGAGTGAGATCCAAGGAAACCTGCCCCATTGAACCCTCAACCATGTGGCAGTTTGTCCAAGAGGTGGTGGTGTATTGGGTGTATGTATGGGTGTAAGGGTAAGTTACCTTTCTGTGATTGATTGCGTGCTCGTTCTGCCAGGTTAAGTGGATGCTTTGGTACAAGATAAAAAGGCTTCATCCTGAATTCTTTCCTGACTTTCTTTCCCAGCCAGTCTTCAATCTTTAGACCATCAGTGGTGCTCCGTGGCCAGCTCTGTGAATGAACCTCCAAGGCCAAAACCATGTCCAGAGAGATTGGCCCATATTCCTTGTCCTCAATCTGAAGGGTCACAGCAGGACATCCCAGCTTTCTCCTTTCCAATTTTATGTTGTATTCTGTCAGGAAGGAGTTTAAAAGGAGTAAGCTTTCTAACCAGTATGATAAATAATTGTAACTATTCTGAATAATTGCAGTGTAAAAAGGATTTGGGCCATTAACAAGAAACATTTACTAATTTTCAGGGTTGCTCCTCCAAAGTGAATTGCTAGTGGTCAACAGGAGAAAACCAACCAGAGGTGAAGTGGCTGTTTCCACGCCATTAACTTAGAGGAACAAGGGAATAAGAAAAGACCATTTAGCCCGTCTAAGCTTTTCCACCATCCAAATAAATTATGGTAGATCTATGCATCAGAATGCCATTTACCCACCACTGAGTCATACCCTTTGACATTCCTATCCAACAAGAATCTTTCAGTCTCCTTCTTGAAACTTTCTATTGACTCTTAATATGCACACTTTTTTGGTGCAGAGAGAGTTCCAGATTTCCAGCACACTTTCTGTATCTTTGGTGTATGTGATACAGAAGTGGTTAAAATGAAAACCAGCCACCCAGAGCTGGTTGAATACCAAACTGTACCAGGGATAAGACATATCTGCCATTCAGCAGAGTTCTGACTTTTCCAACATTCTGCCAAATGCAGAATTCTGCCCTTGGAAATGCTTTTCTGCCTCTCCATAGTTGTTGGCACATTCTACCTCAGTCTAAGCTTTTCACTTCATTGCTGAAGTCCAAGCTGCCTGAGAAACAAGCTGAACCCCAGAGTAGGGAGCCTCATCATAGCTCACTCAATCCACCAGGAGAGCATATTCTCAGCTAGTTACTTTGTGGGGTTACTGGGAGTGACACGTGTACTCTTTGTTCCTAACCTTTAATTCGCTGCTAAGTCACAGGATATTAATCATGCAAGAACAATCCTGCCATCCCTTCCTTTTCTCGAGAGGTAGCAGTTAACAACATTTTCTCACAGTGTGAGGGATAACACAGTATGTCCCAGAGTTCACACTTGCACAATTTTAATATTCATCTTGATTTTTCACTACACTGTTTTGGGTTCATTCAGGCATAAGTGGTGCTGTAATGGACTGTAGCTTTCTGATGCTATTCAGGAGTTAAACATGCAGGGTAGGTAATTTTGTTGCATATTTTGTTTCAGATACAAAAGTGGCAAATGGTATTTCATCCTAACAATGCATTTGGAGACAACAGCACAAGGGCACAAAAAACAAAGTAGAATTCATAAAAGTTCAGAGGGACAAAGGGAACTTGGCTTTTATGTCTATAAGACCTCAATGTAGCAGGACGGGTTTAAAAAAAGGAAACGGTGGTTTATGGAATATTATGATGGTCATCGTCTACAGCATACCAACGGAGATTATGTTGGAACTGTATAAAACATTATAAGCTAAGAAATGGACACACAGACTCTAAGATGTAGACAGATTAATTGAGTGTGAAACAAAGAGACCAGAGAAACTTGGGTATACTCCTAAGTAATGCAGAAGGTTAGCACGATGAGACAGCAAGCAGTTCAAGTGAATAGCACGTTGGCTTTTATTAAATGGGGGTTGGAGTATAAAAATAATTCTTGCTGAAATTGTACAGGGCTATGAAACCACAACAGGAGTTTTGAACGTACTCGTGGCTGTTATATCTATGCAAGGATGTACTTGCATTGGAAGCAGTACAGTCAAGGTTCACTAGATGGGTCCCTGAGATGAGTCGGTCCCTATGATGAGGTTGAGTACATTGTGTAAAGATTATATCTTTTTATTTTTGTTTCTGATTGTGGATTGAAACGGAAAAAATACTGATGTAAAAGCCAAGGATTGTTGATGGATTGCTGCATTTATTTTTAAAAGCAAGTTAATTGACATTTATTATAAATGCTATTTACATAGCTGTTTGTTCATGCAATGGGTAAAGCCTAGTTACAGACGAGCTGCAACCAAGGAGTATGTATGAATAGAGCTTCAGCCCAAACAAGTCTCTGATAGGTTTGTGATATGGTGACCAATTATCAATGGTGAAGACTTTCTGCCTGCAAATGACTGAGATTGGCTAAATGTTTGAGTGTGAAGCTATCGAACCTCTGAAAGCTAAGGAGCTGTTCCTGCTCTCTGCAGTAAAAAACCATCTCAAGCCTGAAGAAAGCCAGTTTTATTTTTCCCTCATAATTTTCTTTAAGCTGTGGCTCTTAAACACTAAGTCAGAGATTTTATAAATGTGAATCAACTATTCTGTGCCTCCTGCAAGCAAGTGAAAGGACATGGAGAAGGAGGATCAAGGAGCAGCAAGTCCTGACAAGGAAAAAAAGATTATCTCAGTGAACCCTGTGGAAAGGGACCATTGAGCTGCCTTCCCAGTCTTCCCTTCTAAGGGGGAATTTATAAGAGTTCAGAGTTTTAACCAGTAGAGTTATATGTCAACAGTTCATAATTGTAAATCTTTAATTAAAATCTATTTATTCAAAATGAGTAGAAATTCTTGTTAAGTACAGAAATCCAGCCATGCTTTCTGTGTGAAAGTCGGGTCAGCTGGGAAATTGTGTGTAATTTTTCAAATCTTTAACTTTTGTGACAACTTCAAGTATAGCAGGGCTTGACTTCCAGTGTGCTACCCAGTCAGGCAAAACAAGAAAAACGTTTTGAGCAGTTTGGCTGGAAATTGTCTTCATGGGCAGCATGGTGGCTCAGTGGTTAGCACTGCAGCCTCACAGCACCAGGAACCCAGACTCGATTCCAACTTCAGGTAACTGTCTGTGTGGACTTTGCACATTCTCCCTGTGTCTGCGTGGGTGCTCCAGTTTCCTCCCACAGTCCAAAGATGTACAGGTTAGGTGGATTAGCCATGGTAAATGTAGGGTTATAGGAATAGGGTGAGGGAGTGGGTCTGGGAGGGATGCTCCTCAGAGGTTGGTGTGGACTCGATTGGCCAAATGGCCTGCTTCCACAGTGTAGGGATTCTGTGGCATAGATCACCAGCAAATATACAGAGGAAATGCTCTGTTATAATAGAAACGGCTTTATTCACAATGCAGACAAGGTGTCCTCTCCAATGATATGGGGGCTGTGAATTTTCCTTTTCTCATTTCAGCAATTCATGTATCTTGACACTGTCGAGATAAAAATTCCTGACCCAGACGTTCACTATTTTCTTACCAAAGTGATAAGGTATTTTCCTTAAGAAAGTGATAATTATTTGTTTGCCACACTAACAGTCTCCCGAGTTTGAGGAAGTGGCCCCAAAGCATTTGGATTTCACTACAGATCATAAAGCTTTAATTTTCCAATCCCTCATGATTCAATGTGTTTGCCACTTTGTGCTATAATGTTTGTGTGATTCCTTGTCTGGAAATTTTCAGATCTTTTTGTATTTGGCCATGAATTTTCATAAATTCTTTCCTTCAACCATTCTCATTCCCTTTATACACAGCAGGAAGTTCCATCGTTCACAAGAACATAAGAAATGAGAGCAGAGTTTAGCCCCTCAAGCCTGCCCTACTATTCTGTAAGATCATGGCTGATCTGCCCCAGCCCTCAACTCTTTGATATTTCAGAAATCTACGTAACACCTCTTCAAATTTTTGTGATCTCAGCTCCACAGCTCTTTGGACTCAACAGAATTTACAAATCACACTTTCCAGGAGAAGAAATACCTTTGCATTTATTTTTATATGACCATCCCTTCATTCTGTAAGTATGCCCACTAATGGAGGCATCTTCTCAAAATCTACTGTCAAACCCCCTCAGAATTTTATGTTTCAATAAGATCACACCTCATTCTTCTAAACTCTGAATAAAGGCTTAAGCTGTTCAACCGTTCTTGATACGTCAATCCCTTTGCTACAGGAATCAGCCTAATTAGTTGCTGTAGAACTATCTCCAGTGCCTTTCTGTGGTACTCCACCACTTACATCTTTCTGACCTGAAAAAGACCCATTCGTCCTCACTGTTTTCTATGTGTTGACAAATCCTCAATTCATGATACTGTGTTACCCCCAGTACTCTGAGCTCCTATCTTGTGCATTAATGTTTTATGTGGTATCTTATCAAATGCTGTTTGGGGTGGCACACTAGCTAGCACTGCTGTCTCATAGCACCAGAGACCCAGGTTCAATTCTATCCTCGGGTGACTGTCTGTGTGGAGTTTGCACATTCTCCCTGTATCTGTGTGGGTGTCCTCTGGGTGCTGTAGTTTTCCCCCACAGTCCAAAGACGTACAAGTTAGGGTGGATTGACCACGGTAAATTACCCATTATCTCCATCGATGAATAGGTTAGGTGGATTAGCCATGGGAAATACAGGGTTATAGGGATAGAATAAGGGTGAGAGTCTGGGTGGGATGCTCTTCGCAGACTTGGTGTGGATATTTTAGGCCGAATGGCCCGTTTCCACACTCTAGGGATTCTTTGAAATCCATCTACTGGTTCCCCATTATCAATTATAGCACCGTAAGAAATAGAAACAGTAGGCTGTTTGTCCATATCAAGCCTGCTCTGCCATTCAATAGGATCACGGCTGATCCAACGCTGTTCACAGATAATAGGAACTGCAGATGCTGGAGAATCTGAGATAACAAGGTGTAGAGCTGGATGAACACAGCAGGCCAAGCAGCATCAGAGGAGCAGGAAGGCTGACGTTTCAGGCCTAC